ATGCTTCACATACAGCAGCTGTTCCTCAGACAGAGGGTGTGGTGCTCAGGAGGCTGCTGTTGCTTGGATCTGCTGCGTTGATTTAATGGCAGAAAATACAGCACAACAAGGCACCATGTACCAGGCACTTGCTCTGTGTTGTTGCTGGGATTCTAGATATATTCCTGATGTTATCAGATATATTATTTGGAAATGATCCTACCAACTGGTAGCTTTTTTCTGGTATCAACAGTGCCTTTTTCAGACCAGAAATTTTAAATTTGATGAAGTCTACTTTGTCAAAGACATGACAATATAAGTTGGGATGAGTATATAGGCAGTGAAAGTGATTTAAGCCACTTATATTATCTAGGAGGTGTTTAATAATAACTAATGTTTATTGTGGAAATAAGACTCTAAGGGTAGATCTGAAAGAAAGATCGTTCATGGTCCACACACTGTGTAATCTCCCCTTAAATGTGGGTAGAATCTATATCTTGCTTCTAATCAATAAGGTATGGCAAACATGATGGGATGTCACCTCTATGAAAATGTTATAAAATATTACATATACACTTAAAAATAGTCTCAAAATATACAAAAGCATCAATTGCTATTATGTCCACAGAGAAACTGGAAAAAAAACACCACCAAGGGAGTGAAAGATTTCATCAGGTCTTTTTAATGATTGAGAAGTAATATACAAATCAATAGCATACAGAAGTTTTAAACAACACAAATTACAAGGTTTGCCAAATGTATATGGAGACACACACTTCTGCTTTGAAGAAATTCAGAAAACATAACTCGTTTGAAGTTCATTTGGAACAGTTAGTAACAAAATCGATTCTGCCTTAGACCATATAAAATTATTTAAAAATTTAAAGAATTGGTATCAGAGAATTCATCCTGTCTTAACTCACTGAAATTAAGTTATATATTAATAAAGAAGGTATATAAAACATCTACCTATAGTTCATAATTTAAAGGTTTTTTCCTTTGAAAACACATTTCTATAAAAAAAACAACAAACACATTTCCAAATATGAATCAAAGAAGAAATCAGGAGTTACATCTTAAAATACTTAAAATTTAATAATAAAGAAAATATTATATATAAAAACCTGTGAGACATGGAAAAGCATGCTTTGAGAAAACGTGAGAGCTTTAATAAGCTAAGTATCCAAGCTAAGAATAAATAGGGGCAGTAGGGGGGAAAACAAAAGTAGAAGGAAGGAGGTATTAGAGGTAAAGGTATCAATTCATGAAATAGAAAACAAAGATACAATAAAAATCAACAAAACCCAACATTTATTCCTCTTACAAACTACCAAAATGGACAAACATTTGGCAGATGCATCAACATAAAAAGAAAGATACATAGAAATAATAGTAAAGAAAAGGGGAACAAAAAGAGAATATAAAGATTAAAAAGATTAGAGAACCGGTATGAAGAATTCATGCCTATAGGATTGAAAATTTAGAGGAAAGAGAGAAATTCTAAGAAAAAATATAACAACATAGCTGACTCAAGAAAAAAGAATAGAAAGCTTGTATAGTTGTGTAAAATATAAAATTAAATGGTATTCAAATCTTCCTTGAGATCCAACTATATTCTTTATACCAGAAAATAACTATAAATAAAAAGACAGATAAAGTATATAATGCAAACACTAATCAAAAGAAAGTTGGGATGGCTATATTAATATAAAAAAGTAGACTTCAGAAGAAGGATAAAGAAGAACATTACATAATAATAAAGAGGGCAATTTGCCTACAAGACCTAACAATTCCTACAATACCTGAAGCAAAAACTGACAGAAATGTAAGAAGACACAGACAATTCCATGGTTATATTTGGAAATTTCAATACTTTACTCTTATGATTTAATGGAACAATCAGGTAGAAAGTTAATAGATCTAAACAACATTAGAATCAACTTGTCATAACTGACGTTTGCAGAACACTATACCCAACAGCAAAATGTATATTGCTTGCAACTGTACATGAAATATTCTAGATAACCTTGATATCTTAATATATTCAAAATAAACTATATTCTAATTCATAAAATACATGAACAGACTGGCTTCTTTCACTTATCAATATGAGTTTAAATTAACACCTTGTTTCTTCATGGCTTTATAGCACATTTCTTTTTATCCCTGAATGTTTTTATGACACATGGCTGAGATTTTGCCTCCAATGATTTCTTCTAGAATTCTAATGGTTTCACGACTTACATTTAAGTATTTTATGCATTTTCAGTTTATTCTTATGTATGGTGTAAGTTGGTGGTCTAGTTTCATTTTTTTGCATGTGTCTGTCCAATTTTCCCAACACATTTATTGAAGAGACTGTCTTGATGCCATTTTATGCTCTTGCCTCCTTTGTCAAATATTACTTGAACGTAATGGCTTGTGTTGATTTCTGGGTTCTCTGTTCTGTTCCACTGATCTATATACCTGTTCTTGTGCCAGCATGAGGCTGTTTTGATTACCGTGGTTAGTAGTATAATTAGTGCTCTTTTATTTCATCTTGGGGAATTCCTTTAAGCATAAGAAATAAGGTAGGTCTAGTGGTGATGAACTCACTAAGCTTTTGTTTATCAGGAAATGTCTTTATTACTCCTTGATTTCTAAAGGACATCTTTGGCCAGGTAAAGTATTCTTGGTTGACAGATTTTCCTTTCAGCGATTTGTATATATCATTCTACTGTCTCCTGGGGTGCAAAATTTTTGCTAAGAAATTGAATGATAGCCTTATGGGCATTCTCCTGTATGTGAGTTTATTTTTCTCTTCTTGCTTCATTTAAAATTCTCTTTGTTATTTTAGACAAATTTTAAAAGATATATATTAGGAAAGGCTGATTTGTGATGAAATTGTAGGGGAAGTAACTATGTAGGCTTTTGTTACCTCTTTGCATTCTTTTACTTTGTCCTCCCATCTGACTGGATAATTTCAAATGATCTGTCTTCTGTTTCACAGATTCTTTCTTCTGCTTGAATCAGTCTTCTGTTGATGGTCTCTACTGATTTTTATTTTCATTTTATTAATTGTATTCTGCAGCTCCAGAATTTGTTCTGTTTTTCTTAATGATTTCTGTCTATTAAAATTAATGTATTGTTTGCCTGATTTCATCAACTTAACCTTGTATGTTTTCTTGTACTTTAATGACCTCCCTTAAAACAACTATTCTGAATTCTGTATCGAGCAAATCACAGTTCTCCATTTATTTGGAGCTGGTTCCTGGACAATTGTTTTCCTTTGTTGGAGTCGTGTTTCTTTGATTTTTCTTGTTTTCTGAATCCTTGCATTACCGTCTTCACATCTAAAGAGGCATCACCTACTTCAGATTTTACTGACTGGCTTTGGGAGACAAATGCCTTCCATCTTCCCTGTTAGGGATTTTGAGACTTTCTCTGACCTTTTCTATGGATACACCTGTCCCACAATTCCTGTTTCCTGTTGGCGGTAGGGGGGACTCGAGATTTTAATACTTCTCTAAATTCTGCAAAGCCGGGCTGGGTACTGACAACCTCCCATTTGCCTTCCGTAGGTGAATGTAGAAAACTCAAAAGTTTGTGTGCTTTTTCCTAATCCCACTGTCAGGCCTTCTTACTGCGTATGCCCACTAACCTTCTACAAAGGCTCACAGACACCACCTGCAAAGGTGCGCACAGGAAAATATCTCTGGGTTTGAGGTATGTGTTGGGGAGATGTGTGTTGGGGTACCTGTGGATCAATGTGGGGGTATCCATTGATGAGTCATCCCCAGCAGTTTGTGGGCAGGCTTACTGATGAGTTCATGAAGCAGTTAGTAGGATCTACATCTCTTTGATACTGTTCCATGCTTTTTCAGCCCTAGCTGCTATTGCAGTTATTTGCTGGCCAATGAGTCATATCCTTTACTCAGTATTCTGCATGGGGTAAGAAGGAAATGCTCCTCTTTGGCAGCATATGGCACATCTGGGAAGCCAGGCACCCACTCATGCTCTTTCATTTTCTCCTGTGGAAGAAATCATAAGTTAAGAAGGTCTCTCTTAACTCACCTGTGCCACCATGGGGAAGGGGAGATTTGAGGAGATTAAACTGTTTCTCTTACCTTCTTCAGTGAGTTCAATCTAAAGAGTTTTTGCTCTAGCAGTGTGCTGGAATTTCTCTGCTAGACTCCTGGACTTCCACACTGGCCCTCTTATCCATGCTTAATTATCAAAATTGGTGTTATTTTGGGGGGGGGGGGGGGAGTAGAAAGATGGTAGAAAACTCCTATACAAACATTTTGATGATATCACTCTCTAGAGAGAAACTGTTCCTGAGCCTTGATAGAAGAGATCTTTTCACATACTGTTAAAAACAAACACAAAAGTGAAACTTCAGGGAGTCAATCCTTATATTCATTTCTCACAACTAAAGAATAAAATCAGAATTCCTAATGGAAAGCTCCTCTAATACATAATGTCAAACCTAGGATTCTCAGAAATCTACCAGAAGCAGCAAATGTTCAGAAATAGACAGCATGGACAATGAACAGCTTGCCTCCCAAGTGTCAGAACAAGATCCCTTTCTAATTCCTGTTTTATTTTTCATCTACTTGCTTGTAATCATTCTTCTAATTTTCTATAGACCCATGGTAGTCATTCACTCATAACTGTGACTTTTCTTCTTTCTTGTCTTTATAACTGCCATTAAATTGTACCAAATAGGAGCCACTACCCTCAGTTTTACCTATCACTGGACATGATACACATGATTTAAAAAAACAAAAACAAAAAGCAAACAATCAAACAAAAAAACCTATGGGCAATTTCATTGTCATCAAATGAGACCATAGGTAATTACAACCAATAGTATTTACACTAGTTACATGGCAAATGTCCTTAAACAAATAACCTGTGACTTTGCATGTGTCCCACAGAAAAACAACACAATTATTACTACTAGTGATCATCTCCTGGAAATTCTGAGTTTGAATCCAACAATCTTTGTAGGACAATGTTCCAAATACTTGCCACCTGAAATCATTAATGGAATTCATTGTTTTATTTTTTTTGTTGTTGTTTAAATAATAAAATAGATATAGTGCTTCTAACAGACATTACAATTTCTTTGCAGCTAGGTCATTTGGTCCTCTTTGTTCCAGATTAACACTTTATCCACCTTACAAACAATATTCTGAGACTTCTCTGTACACAGAGACTGTAATTCTATAAATGGGCAAGGCTGAAATTCTGACTCAAATGTGATCTCCAAAATGAGGCCACTTGTGATTATTCAGGCACACCACCTGGAGAAATTACTCATTGTTTATGTGAATAATCAGAGTAGTTTTCCCACTGATGGGAATCATACAAATAGAACCAACTGTTTAAAACCTATTACTAATTTTGGTAGAAATTATTAACATCACTTCTGCCCTATATAGAGATTAGTCTCACCTTGACATGAGTAGTGACAGTTTCATTACTCCAGATTTCTTGGTTAGTCATGCATCATTGCTAATACTTCATGCTGTATTTGGATCAATGAGAAAAAATAATACAACCTACACAATGCTTGAAGAAAACAAATCTACCTGGATCTCTAAGTCTTTGATCGTCACAGCTGATGGGAATTGTTCTCTTGACCTGTGTCAGGCAATTGGGGTTCTGGGTTCCAAATCACATGAGGGATTTAGAGTGAGTAAGCAATTGGAAAGGTAGTTTGAGCGGGGGCAGGGGATTCAGAGCAGGTAGAGAGTGAGTAGAGAAAGGTAGTGTAACCTGAATCTGAGCAAAGCTCTCGACAGGCTGCAGAGAGGTCTGAACAAAGACCTAAGAGAAAACATGAGCAAGAACTGGAGGGAGGGCTAGAGCAGAGAAATATTACAAGTGGAGTTTCAAGTGGGTGCAAATCAGGATGAGGCTAATGGTGGTTGAGAGTATAAATGGAGATAGCGAATCAGAGCCAAGAAGTAGTGCCAGCCAGTGCTGGATAGAGTGCAACCTGGGATCTGAGCAGGAACTTGGCGAAGATATAGCCTGAGGAATAGCAATGGAATGGTGGATGGATGGGGTTACAGCATTGAGAAAGATCCAGTTAGAGAGGTAGTGAGAAGCGGGTTCCTGGTGGGCAAGGGGCCACAGAGGGAAGTTAACCTGAGGAGAGGTAAACTGGATTCTAGAACCATTTAGGAAAAAGAACACGAGTGAGGAGCAGAGAAGTAGCCTGAGGAGGAGTTGGGGCAGTGATTGGGTCTGAGAGGGAGAATGATGGGGCATGAAGGGAGATGAGCAGAAAGGTAAAATGATTGGGATCCAGGTGAGATGGAGGCTGGGGGGAGGGGAAATAACAGGAGGAGAAGGCCAAAGAAATAGTGAGAGCTGGCAAGTGGGGGTGGGAGAAGATGGTGAAAGAGGAATTGGGGGGTAGTTAGGAGAGGTATTGCAAGTGGGAGTAGCAAACTGTGATGCTCTCAGCTTTACTCTCAAAATTCCTTAGAAACCCTACATAGGGGCTTTTGCTGCAATCGTGGCATCAGTTTTTCTAATGTTTCATTAAGGGCAAGACATAAAACAAAATAGTGTCAAGAGCTGGAACTCCCTGTTGCGCCCAAGAGTGTGCAGAGATAGCTGTACCCTAAGATAACATACATAAATATATATATTTGGGACTAGGGAACAGAAAGCCCTGTTTTTGAAAGACCTGACACAAATGGAGATAGCAGAGACTGAAAACCTGGGAGGCACAGCAAGAGAGTGATAACTCAGCCATCCTGCTCTGAGCACCTCTAGTATAGCCAGGTCATGCTCTATAATGACTTATATCTTTCCATCCCCTTCTCTCTTGATCCCACCTCCTGTCTATTATCCACTTTTCCTCACCCCAATCCCACCCAATGTGGAAAGGCCATCACCTTTCCCCTTCACTGTTATTAAGCAACTTGCAGCAGTAATACAACAATACTATGATATTCTCCTAATTCCTTTCCTACACTGCAGTGCTCTGGAGCTCAGAGCCAGGATAGTTTGTAAAAATGATCAGGTGAGATGTACAAGGTTGAAAATGCCCTGGTACTGACTGCATTGTGCTTTTTAAGTGCTCTGTACTCTCCCACTTTTGCCCTTATTAAAAATCTTGATACTGATGACTTCCTGGGAGGAATTGTGCTGATGACCATTAAGTTCTCAAGACACTACATCCACATCCAGAGTCAGCTGTCAATGCTGGCTATGGTGAATATGATTCTTATTTTTTTCCATTTATTTACTGTCTAAAGTTTTACATAGCTCCTTTTTCCCCAACTGATCCACCTCCCCCCACCCCCTCAGGCATTCCCACCCCAGACAAACCCCAACTGCCCCAATGTCTGTGTCCATTGGTTATGCTATATGCATGCATACAAGTCCTTTAGTTGCTCTCTAACACCCCCCCCACACACACACCTCCCTTGCCAGTTGTCTCGATCTACTTTTATTCATCAAATTATGTTGATCATTATATCCCACATATGAGTAAGATTGTGTGACATTTATCTTTCTCCAACTGGCTTATTTCGCTTAGCATAATGCTCTCCACTTCCATCCATGCTGTTGCAAATGGTAAAAGTTCCCTCTATTTTAGAGTTGCATAGTATTCCATTGTATAGATGTACCAAAGTCTTTTAATCCACTCATCTGCTGATGCGCACTTAGGTTGTTTCCAAATCTTAGCTATGGTAAATTGTGCTGCTATGAACATAGGGGTGCATACATCCTATCTGATTGGTGTTTCTGGTTTCTTGGGATATATTCCTAGAAGTGGGATCACTGGGTCAAATGGGAGTTCCATTTTTAACTTTTTGAGGAAACTCCATATCGTCTTCCACAGTGGCTGCAGAGTATGCTGCTAACAGATAATTTTCTCCTCATCTTCTGGGATCCGGGCCATCACTGTTGACCTCTACGTATCTCTGCAAAATGCCTTTACCTACCAAGTGACTCACACCATGCCTCACAACTTAGGCATACACACACACACACACACACACACACACTCTGAGTGGCCAGATTATTATGACCACCTGACTTTTGTAGGCAAAGTAGCTATAATTTTGCACTGAAGTTGCTAGAGGGCCAGACCATTATAAATAGGGAGGTAGGTTGTTTACCACGACAGTAGAAGTGATTTTTTTTCTGAAGATCTGGGTAAACAATGCTATTTAACAGCCTTTGAACATGGGATACACACACACACACACACACACACACTGAGTGGCCAGATTATTATGACCACCTGACATTTGTAGGCAAGTTAATCATGCACTGCATCATATGGGATACAGAAGCCAAAGGCCTGTTCGAACACCTTTGCTGTAGTAGAAGTGATTTTTTTTCTGAAGATCTGGGTAAACAATGCTATTTAACAGCCTTTGAACATGGGATACACACACACACACACACACACACACTGAGTGGCCAGATTATTATGACCACCTGACATTTGTAGGCAAGTTAATCATGCACTGCATCATATGGGATACAGAAGCCAAAGGCCTGTTCGAACACCTTTGCTGTTTTCCATCACCGGATCTCAATCCAATTGAGAAACTGTGGGACAAAGTTAAAAGAGCCATCAGGCAGCTGGTTCTACAACCATCAAATCTCACAGAACTGGAGGGGATCGAAAATGGCGGCGGTATAGATAGACATGTCCCGGGTCTTGTCCCGGAGCAGATAGGGTGAGCAGCTGAAACGAGTAACATCCAGCCCGAATTGGCAGAGATTCAGCTGGGAGACCGTTTGCAGCCGGGAAAGGCAGAGGACTCCTGAAGAAAGGTAAAGTCAAGGCTCTGGGAAGGATAATTGGCCAGAATTCTGGGCCCTGGGGATCAGAGGGAACCCACACGGCAACGGCTTGGGCCGCGTCCCTTGGGATGGGCACAGTGGAAAGAAGGTACACAGAACTGCTGGTCGGCAGGGGATTCTAGATCTGGATCCACAATCAGGAAAGGCTGAGGAGTGCCGGCAGAAGAGCACGCAGAGGCGCGGCCTTTCCCCCCTCGCAGGAAATTCTAGATCTGGGTCCACCGTCAGTAAAGGCTGAAGAGTGCCAGCAGAGAGGAGTGCTCAGAGGTGCAGCCTCTCCAAGCTCTGTGGCTTGTGCCTTTCTTCATAGAGCCTAGTTCATAGGACCTTTCAGATACAGACACTTACCCGTGGCTGGAGCATGGGAGAAGGTGCGGAATTGTGGAATCTGGGGAGAGAGGGGGATCCGGGAGAAGTGTCAGTGAGTTTTGGTGCCAAGTCATGCCTGAGCCTGGGACCTAGGAAGCCATTTTGTGCTGAAGAGATAGTCCCTCCCTCCAGTATCCAGGCAACTAATACAGCCACACCCAGACTCCACACTGAATGGTAAAAGGATTAAAAACAAAACAAAACAAAACAAAAACCCTAAATAGTCCCTGAGAGTACAAAGGGGCTGGACTAAAGAGAGACTTTTAGTCACAGCAATCAAAACCCGAGAAACACTACAATACAGAAGACTGGGATCTTAAGCCAGCCAAAGGAACACTTCACTGTTTCATTTTTATTTTATTTTTTATTACTTTGTTATCTTTTTTCTTCATTTTCCTGTTTTTGTTTGTTGCTTTATTCTCTATTTCTTTTCACATTATTTTCCATCACTCTATTTTATTTTCATTTGCTATTTTTATACTATTTTTGAAATCAATTTTTTGTAAATTTTTTTTCTCTCGTTCTCTTTCCTCTTATCCATCCATCCCCTTTCTACTTCCTCTACACTGAACTGAGTCCCTCCCCATATTCATCCAACTCTTAACCTTATCTTCTATATATAAGCTCAGCATCTACAGATTCTGCCCCCACCCTTCTTGCTGGGGGGTTGGTGTTTGTATTTTTTTTATTTCTATTTGTTGTATTTTTAAATTTTATCATTTTTTTGTTTGTTTATTTTGTTTGTTTATGTATTGGTACTGTATCCCCCCCCCCCATATACGTATAATCTCCTTTTCTTCCTTTTCTTTTTCCCTCTCTTCTATATCATTTATGCTCTCTTTCCTTGCCCCTAATTCTCTTTTCTCAGGTTGTCACTTATAGTGGGGTTATTATTGTTGTGAGTACATTCATGCTTTGGTCCCTTTGTGTTGTGTCTTATCGAGGTGAATTTTATCCTGTCTGGCCAGGTGCTAGAGAGTGAGCCTCATAACCAGACACCTGGAGAGGAAACTCCATCCACAAATGGGTCAGTAACAACCCAGATCCAACTACAGAGGCAGGAAGAAGGCGGCAGTGAGGGAGAGAGTGTAAGTCAGTGAGGGACCAAAAGAGGAGTGTGTGCTCATGTGGGATGTGTGTGTGTGTGTATGTGAGGCACAGATAAATCCTGCAGGACTTTCGGGATGAGGCTAAACGGGTTCGCCTAACTAGGCAGCCTTTACTACCTTGTAAGCAGTTCCAGGAGTTTGGCTCATCCTCAGAAGCCTAGTGTTTTTAAGGGGAGAGCTGCTGTAACTGGGATCCAGGCCTAACCCCCACCCAGGGTGCCCTCAGATAACACCTAGGACTCTACAGACACCACTGACAGGGACCTGCCACTTTGGCTGTGGCCCCATGTTCAACGAGTCTCCAACCACCCTGGGTGCAGGCTCCTGTGAGTTCTGAAGCATGTTCCCTTCTGACTGGCCCAACGCCTTAGCCCGTGGCACTGCAACCACACAAGCAGTAGACATGTGAGCAGCCTTCTCCTGTCCAAGGAACAGCAGCCCTGTGAGCAGCCTTCCCCAGGCCTAAGAGCAGAAGTCTCACGTGGCCTGCCCCTGTCCAAGGAGCAGCAGCTGTCAGCTGTCTGAATGGCTCGCTCCCTTGTCCGAGGAGCAGCAACCACATAAGCAGCCTGCCACATCTGAGGAGCAGCAGCCACACAAGCAGCCTGCCCACGATTGAGGAGTGGCACCACCACACAGCACACCCCCATCCAAGGAGCAGAAGCTGTGCAGCCCACACCCTCCTCCTGTCTGAGGAGCAGTAGGTGTGCGATAAACCTGACACCTATCCAAGGAGCAGCAGCTACACAAGCAGCCTTCCCCTATATGAGGAGTAGCAGCAGTGTGAGCAGCTCATACCCATACAAGGAACAGCATCGCCACGAGCAGCCCTCTCCCATTAAAGGAGCAGTAGCTGCCCGAGCAGCCTTCCCCAGTCTGAGGAGCAGCAGCCACACGAGCAAAACATCTACATCTGAGGAGTGGCAACCCTGTGCAGCCCACACTGGTCCAAGGAGCTGGAGACACACGCAGTCTGCACCTGTCTGACGAGTAGCAGCTGGGTGAGCATCACGACCCATCTGAGGAGCAGCAGTCACACGTGCAGCTCACTCCCACCCGAGGAGCAGCAGCCACACAAGCAGCCCGTCCCCCATCTGAGCAGCAGCAACTGCGCGAGTAGCCAACACCTGTATGAGGAGCAGTAGCCCCGTAAGAAACCTGCCCCTGTTCGAAGAGCGGCAGCCACACAAGCAGCCCATCCCATCTGAGCAACAGCAGCAGCATGCAGCCAGCTCTGATCCAAGGAGCAGCAGCCACATGAGTAGTCCACGCACATCCGAGGAGCAGAAGCCATGTGAACATCCTGCTCCTGTCCAAGGAGCAGCAGCTGCGCTCAGGCCGCTCCCACCTGTAGAGCAACAGCCTCATGATCAGCCTACCCCTGTTCAAGGAACAGCAGCTGTGGGAGCAGCCTCACCTACCAGCCAGAGGAGACACCACTGCTGGGAACACACCCACCAGAGGAGCCGCTACCAACTGAGGAGCAGCCACGACCGCGACCACTTGAGGAGCAACTGCAGCCCGAGGAACCACTGCCACCCAAGGAGCAGCCCCTGCATGATTCAACATCTAGATCAGTTGGTGAGACCAAAAATGGATAGACAAAGAAACCCCCAAAGGAAAGAAAGGGAACAATCGCCAGAAAAGCAGCTAAGTGAAACAGAGACATGCAATATGTCAGAAAAAGAATTCAGAATAAGGCTCCTAGAGTGCATAAACCAGATGGAGGAAAAAAATCGACAACTTATGTAAGAATCAAGAAGAAATGAAGAGTGATATAGCTGCAATAAAAACCACCATGGAAAGTTTCAACAGTAGACTAGAAGTGGAGTACTGAATTAGTGAATTAGAAGACAGGGAAGCAAAACACACCCAAACTGATCT